GTTTTTCTTCATATAGTCCAGACCAAAGTAGGTGAGGCAAAGTCTGGCCATTTTTGCCTCCAAGGAGCATTCCAGCTGCACTTCTTCCAGGACAGATTTGTTCATTCTTCTGTCAGTCCATGGTATTTTCAGTATTCTTCACCAAGACCGTATAGTTCAAAGGTATCAAATCTTCTGTTCTTCCTTATTTGTTGTCCAGTTTCACATGCATATGAGGCTGACAGAAAGCCACATCTAAAGACTCTAAAATGAACTGTCCTGCAGGGCATCCTAATTATGATGGGTAGCTGAACCCACCAGCCCCTCCATAGGAGAAAGATGTGGCAGTTGGTTTCCAAGGATACACAGTCTTGGAAACCCTACATAGCAGTTCACCTGTATCCTTCAAGTCCAAATGGACTCCCCAGTGGGGAGACAGGACCCACCCCCAGAGGCAGGAAAGGGAGGGAAGGCTGGGGATGACAAAATTGGCAGGATCCAGGTAGGAATTAGGTGAGGGGAGGGCGGACAGGTTTCCAACAGCTAAGGGAGACGAACTTGTCTGTTAGTCTGTTATACTGTGGTGGCTTGCACATTGCTGTGAGGCTTGAGGCTGTGCCACTGGTGTTTCAAAAGCCAGCAGAGTTGCACATGGTTCACAGGTTTCAATGCAGCTTGCAGACTGAGACAGACTAGGAAGAAGGAAGAGGCCATCCACTTCTTGAAATATTGGCCAGGGAAAACCTCATAAATAGCAGAGAAACACTGTCTGATACATTACCAGGCAACTTTATGAATAAGCTGTAAACATTGTCCGATACAGTGCAGGAAGATGAGCCCCTTAGGTCAGAAGGGACTCAGAATACAACTGGGAAAGAGCTTCCTCATCAGAGTAGCACCAACCTTAATGATATGGATAAAGTAAATCTTTTGTGACCTACATTTGCTGACGTGGAATGACTCAAATTGAAGAGAAACAGCTGCAAACATCCATTAATAATCAGTTCATGGAATGCATGAAATATGAATCTAGGAAAATTGGAAGTTGTCAAAAATGAAATGGAACACATAAAGATTGATACCCTAGGCATTAGTGAGGAGCTCTGGTAGCGTAGTGCCTAAGGCACTTGACTACTAACCAGAAAGCTGGCGGTTCAAACCCACTAGCCACTCCTCAGAAGGAAGATTGGGCAATCTACTTTCATAGTGATACAGCCTTGGAACCCAAGGAGGGGTCGCTATGAGTTGGGTCCAACTCCACAGCACATAACAACAACAACAACAGGCATTAGTGAGCTAAAATGGACTGGTTTTGGCCGTTTTGAATCAGACAATCATATGATCTACTATGCCAGAAATGACAATGTGAAGAGGAATGATGTGACATTCATTATCGCAAAAGATGTTTCAATATCTGTCCTGAAGTACAATGCTGTCAGTGATAGGATAATATCCATACGCCTACAAGGAAGACCAATTAATACAACTATTACTCAAATTTTCACACCAACCACCAAAGCCAAAGATGAGAAAATTGAAGATTTTTATCAACTTCTGCAGTCTGAAATTAACCAAACATGCAATCAAGATGTGCTAATTATCACTGGTGACTGGAATGCAAAAGTTGGTAACAAAGAAGAATCACTGGTAGTTGGAAAATTTGGCCTTGGTGACAGAAATAATGCTGGAGATTGCATGATAGAATTTTGCAAGACCAACAACTTATTCATTGCAAATACCTTTTTTCAACACAAATGGTGGTTATAGATGTGAACTTTGCCAGTTGGAGTACACAGGAATCAGATTGACTACATATGTGGCAAGAGACAATGGAAAAGCTCAGTATCTTCCTCCAAAACAATTCCAGGAGCTGCTTGTGGAACAGATCATTAACTGCTCATATGCGAGTTCAACTTGAAGTTGAAGACAATTAAAACAGTCCATGAGAGCCAAAATATGACCTTGAATGTATCCCTCCTGAATTTAGAGACCATCTAAAAAACAGATTTGATGCATTGAATACCAGTGACCGAAAACCAGATGAATTGTGGGATGACATCAAGAACATCATCCATGAAGAAAGCAAGAGGTCATTAAAAAGATGAGAAAGAAAGAAAAGACCAAAATGGATGTCAGAAGAGACTTTGAAACATGCCCTTGAGCTAAGAGCAGCTAAAGCAAATGGAAGAAATGCCAAGTGAAAAGAGTTGAACAGAAGATGTCAAAGAGCAGCTCAAGAAGACAAAACCAATTACTATAATGAAATGTGCAAAGATGTGGAGTTAGAAAACCAAAAGGGGAGGACATGCTCAGCATTTCTCAAGCGGAAAGAACTGAGGAAAAAATTTAAGCCTCGAGTTGCAAATTGAAAGATTCTATGGGCCAAATATTGAATGATGCAGGAAACATCAAAAGAAGATGGAAGGAATATAGAGAGTCACTGTACCAAAAAAAAAAAAAAACTAGTCAATCTTCATCCATTTCAAGAGGTGGCATATGTTCAATGGCAATGGTATTGAAGGAAGAAGTTGAAGCTGCACCGAGGAATTGGCAAAGAACAAGTCTCCAGGAATTGACAGAATACCCATTGAGATGTTTCAACAAATAGATGCCCCACTGGAGGCACTCACTCAGCTGTGCCAAGAGATTTGGAAGACAGCTACCTGGCCAGTTGACTGGAAGAGGTCCATATTTGTACCCATTCCAAAGAAA